ATTGTTATTATTATTATTATTATTATTATTACTATTATTATTATTATTATTATTATTACTTATTATTATTATTATTATTACTGTTATTATTATTATTATTATTATTATTACTATTATTATTATTATTATTATTATTGTTGTTGTTATTGTTGTTGTTGCAGCAACAACAACAAAACAACATCAACAACAAGGAAATAATACAATAAGGAAAGATTTTATAGTCCTAATGCATATATATTGTAATTATTCGATAGTACATTTGCATAATTAAATGGATAATTCTTTTTAATCTTATTCGATAACATTTCACCTATGCTATTATTCTTACATTTTAATTACAATTTCGATAATTAGTATTAGCATGAAACATTTTTTATCCTTCAAATGTGAAAGGAAGAAATGGAAATTTTAGTAATGGAATAATTAATTACAAATTAATAAACAAATAAACTAATTGAATAAAAGCACAAATGAAAATGATGGAAAAAAAAAGAAGCATATTAAATTAGTTCTATTAATGAATATTTGAAATAGACGGCATATGAGATCAAACAACCAATAAGTACTATCATATCAGAATTGATCTTTTCTTCATTGGTCACTATTAGAATTAATCTTTTCGTCATTGGTCACTATTAGAATTGATCTTTTCGTCATTGTTCACTATCAGAATTGATCTTTTTTTCATTGGTCCCTATTAGAATTGATCTTTTTTCATTGGTCACTATTAGAATTGATCTTTTCTTCATTGGTCACTATCACTATTAATCTTTTCCTCATATCGGAATTGATCTTTTCTTCATTGACCATTATCAGTATTAATCTTTTCTTCATTGAATTGTTCTTTTCTTTAGCCTCTTTCTTTTTTTTAAGGAATTCAAATTTTAAAAATATCAAAAAAAAATTTGTCATATTTCAAATCTATTCATCCCTTTTTGCTTACTATATTTCTCAATAAATTAGAAATGAAAATGAAATTATGATGGAATTTTGACTAAATGAAGATTAGCCTTCCTGAAAATGGAATTAAGCATTTTGTTAAGTTTCATTTAGCTTAACTCGTTTTTCCGTTAAATCAAGTGCTTCCAATTCATCATCCCCATTTTCCCATTTTTCATCATAAATCCTCTTTGATATCATATTCACGTTCATCAGATCACGTTTCACTTGCGTGATCTCCGCTTTAGTATGCGAACATGGCGCAATTCGTATTTTTCTACAATTTCACTTCATTATATTTTTTCATTTAATTTTACAACTTTTTTTCTACACCATACCGTAACCATTATTTGTTCTATTACAAATAAAATATTTCAACACGAAATGAAACTGAATTAATTTCTGCAAAAGAATTTAATTATTATTATTTTTCAAATATTTCAAATGCTTTTTCTTATTTAAATACCCATTTATGGATTGCCATAATTTACTTATCCATTCATAGATTACAATAATTCATTTATTCATTTTGAAAAATTACTGGAATTTACTTACTTATTTTATAGGTTATCAAAATTTACTCACCTATTTACAGGTTATTACAGTTCATTTACTCATTTATTTACTTACCTATCAGGAGTAGCATTTTGGATGAGATTATTGGTATTGTTATTTTCCAATTTTCTCTGTCCTGATATTACATTTCGATTACTTTCTTTATCGCTCGTTAAATTTCCAATTGAAGTACCATTAAATGTAGTATATAACGATGAAGCATGTAATAATAATTCTATGTATGCTATAATATATACATATAGTAAATTTTCGTTTTATCTTTTCCAGAAAAGTAAAATTACAAGTTTCCGATTTTATCTCTCCCATAAGTTAAACCATAAATTTTCATTTTATCTTTTCCGGAAATTAAAGAAATTTTACAGACTGATAATTTATTAAAAATTAATTGAAAGAATGGAAATGAAGAAAAATGAAATTAAATCATATAAAATGATCGATTTATTACAAAAAAAAAAAAAAAAAACGAAATTATTTGTTTTAAAGAGTATTAAATGAATTTTCAAGTTACTATAACTAATTACTTACATTGTAAAAGATTTGAAAGTTCCGGAATTTGATTGTTATTATTATTATTATTACTGACAGTAGTGTTAACATTACTTTGCATATACGATAACTTTTCACCGGTAAGTGGATTGATCCGGATTGTTTCACTATCACATATTTCCATGCAACTATTTTGCAAACGCATTGTATTATAATCTTGAAAAATTGCTGTTTTCCTGAAAAAAAAATATATATATATAATGAAATCGAACAAGAAAAAAAAATAAAAATAATTTTAAAAAAAATGAAAAATTTTGTTTAATTAATAATCCTTCTAATGGAGTTCTTCTTTTTTTTCTTTTGAAATTAACAAAAAATTTATGAAAAAAAGAAAACGAAATAATTAAAATCATTTTTAAAAAAGATTTTTTTTTAAATTTAATTCAAAAAAACAAAATCAATAATTCTCTTTCTTTTTTTTAATTTAATTCTTTCTTTTTTTTTTTTTTTTATTAATTACATTTCACAATAATACTTACAATGGTGTAGCAATAACTAAATTATCACCACCATTTTTATCATCATAAATTTGAAGTTGAACAATACGATCATAACGTTTGAGGAATGATTCATCCATTAATATTTCAGCAATTCCCTGTTTGAAATCTTTGATTTGTTCCGCAGAAAGTGATCCCATCAATGGTTTATCATTACGATCTCTGTTTATGCAAAAATATTTTTCATTCATTTTACAATTGTATTTTCTTGTTATTTGAAAAAAAAAAAAGTTCAAAAAATTCGCAAAAAAAATTCAAATTTTCAAAAGATTTTAAAACAAAAAATATTCAAAAAAAAATTAAAATTTTTTCCGATTAAAAATTAATTATTTAAAAGGATTAGTTAAAAATAATTTGGAATGTTTCAAAATTAGTTTCATTTTTTTTCCCTTAATTTTATACCAAAATATTATCATTTCCTAGTTTTAAGCTTAACTATCATATTAATGCTTTTATGTTATTTAGGCTTATTTATTGCCATTCTTTTATACTTTTAAAAATTGACATAATTAATTGGCTAATTAAATGATCAATTGATTCCGATAATTAATTAGGATTAAAATTAAAGTAATTATGATGATTAATGATAATAATGGTTAACTTTGTAACATTTTTAAGTTAATTAAATATTTGTGCATATGAATGAATTAATTGGACACGGTTACCAAAAAAAAAAAAAGGAAGAAAGCTATAGCATACAATGGAAAAATTATTAGTAAGCCAAGGCATACTTGTTAAAATTTGTAAATGCAAATGAAATATAGCCAGCATTTTCATCACAAAATCGCAAATAAATAGCTTTTGTCAAAGTGTCACATTTCTTGTCATTTTCTTCGGTTCTTTTGAAAACTTTCGCAACATTTTGTATGCTTGTAAAGGTTAAAATTCTGCAAATTAATCATAAATAATAAAAATTTAATTATAAAAATTAATTAATTAATTTCATGCATTTACCAAAAATTGTTAAAATTCCTTAGTAAAATGATAGTGATTAGATTAATTATCTGTTATAGTAATTATCATTGATTATTTGTTACTATAAAAATTTAATATCGATTGATAGTGATTAGATTTAATACATTTTATAATGATCAAATTGATTTACCTATTATTATATAAGCTTAACATTGATGGATAATCATTCGTTGGAACTGTTGGCTTTTTCATTTTAGCAGCTATAAAAATTTCATTAAATATGACAAAACTTTGAAATTAACCATAGAAATTATCATAAAATATAGGATAGAAATATTGATTAGCATTTGATTCTTTAATCATTTTGATAAAAGTCTAGTAAGCTAAGATAATTTTAGCTATTAGCTAATAATAAGGAATATGACTAAGACTAAATGATTGGTGAGAACGATATTTAATAAATAAAATGCAAATAGCTAAATAATTTTTAAAACAAATTTTCTAAAATGATATATAATTTTGAATTTTAAAATATTTTAACTAATTAAAATGTTAACAAAAAATTCTTTTACTTTTAATTTGTTATACAATAAGTAATTAAGACAATAAGCTGTTACATTGTTAAATTAATCATTTAATTACATTATTACTAGAATTTTAATATGAATTTCCCACATTTCTTATCAATATTTGATATTGTTGGACAAAATTTGTGACCAACATCGATAATTATTTCCGTTGCACGATATAACCATTGCCAGAGATTATGTTGTAATTCGGTATTATTATCCGCAAGACTAATACATTTATTCTACAAAAATTCATTAATTGATATTATTTGATAACAATTATTGATTCGATAACAATTATTTGATAGGATTTATTATCTCATTATTTGTTAACAATTGTTTATTTCTTTGAAATTTAAAATATCACCAAATTTGAAGTTTTCTTTTTTTTCAACAAACATAATTGTGAAAGTGATTTCAATTAAAAGTTTCATTAAATATTTCATCTACATATGTTTCGTTCGTTTTATTATTATTATTATTGTTATTGTTATTATTATTATTATTATTATTATTATTATTATTATTATTATTATTATTATTATTATTATTATTATTATTATTATTATTA